GGCTCGGCAGGGTAAAAACCTGCAGAGTTCTGCCAGTGCCGTGCGCCCGCCTGGTGTCTGCTGCCTTCCCTGATGGCCTCCGCTGTCTCAGTGACTGCGCTCTTCGCTGTCACTCCAGCGCGTACTTGGGGTGTCGTAAAGATTCCTGTTCCTGTGGCTTGCAGTCACTCTCACTTTCTGTACACACGTATGTTTGTAATTTTGCCCTTAAGTAAGCGTTGGAATTATCCAACACCTCTGGGATGGGGTTTATGTTGTCTTCTTTTTACTATGCTTCCCTGGTGGCGCAGTGGTTAAGCGCTCGACTGTTAACTGAAAGGTCAGCAGTTCGAACCCAGCGGCTACTCCACGGGAGGAAAAGATGGGACAGTTTACTTCCATGAAGATTACAGCCTTGGAAACCCTATGGAGCAATTCTGCTCTGTCCTACAGGGTCGCCAGGAGTCGGAATTGACTAGAGGGCAGTGGGGTTTTTTTTTATATGCCTAATACAACATTATTAGGCTGCATAACTGAGCATTTAATGCCTCTTGATGATGCTGTTGAGAATCTAGGAGTATTTCTTTCAGCTGTACAGGAGGGAATTTGTTAAAATAGGTGGCAGTAAAATTGAGCATGTGTTGATGTGATTACTGCATGTCCAGTGTGGCTTTATACTAATAACCAAGCTTCTACTAGAAATTTAATTTTAAATTCTCCCCTGTATGGTTATCAGATGACATATTAAGTTAGGAAAAGTCTAGTTTTTAAAGTTTCAGGATGAATTCTATCTTGAAAGATGGAGAAATGGTTCCTTTATTTATCTCGGTTCTGCTTGAAAAATTTCCTTGCCAGTATGTATGTATCAGCCAATGCCTGCTGTTTGTGTATTGAAAAGCTGACTTTTCTGTCCTGAGGTTAACAGCAGATAGCAACAGACGAAGGAGCTCTGGTGGTACAAGGGTAAAGTGCTCAGCTGCTGTCTGAAAGGTGGGCGGTTTGAACCCACCAGCTGCTGCGCGCGAGAAAGATGTGGCAGTTGCGTCTGTAAAGATTTACAGCCTTGGAAACCCTATGGGGCAGTTCTTTTCTGTCCTGTAGGATCGCTGGGAGGCGGAATTGACTCCACGGCGCACAACAATGACAGCAACGGCAACACACGGTCTCTGGTTCGTGTGTGTGTGTTTTTAATGGGAGTGGCAAGTAGTTCAGGTGTAGTAACCATTTCTGTTACTTTACGTGGTGGCCTGATAGCAAGGGCTTGGAGCACAGACAGCATCTCCCAAGCCTCATGGATTTTCTTGCTCTCTTCCTTGGAGTCTGAGATGCTGGCTGTTAAACTGGCTGTAGAATGTGGGTGAATCTGTGACCGGTCCTACCTAGTAAGCCTGCAGTAAAGCCAATAGAAAATTCTCTTCTGTGGGACCAAAGAGTACCAGTCCCTTAGTCCTTATGAGTAAGACATAATGAAGTTGGCAAGTGGTAAGGTTGGAGCTCAGGAGAGGCATGCGAAGTGTCACCAGAGGAGAATTCGACGTACTGGAAAGCATCGCAGACTAAATGCCATGAGGAGTGGGTGTGCTTTGTCCCCTCTCTCACTGTGCTGCCTGCCTGGAGGACTCAGGGTCCTGTGAATGCAGGGTCCCAGTCGGTTCCGTCTTTGCCCTTGGTGGGGTGGGAGTCAGTGTGGGAGATCCTTTTTGAGTCACATGTTTCGTGATTATTCGAATCAAGGTAAACTTAGAAGTAATCGGTTTTCTCCCTGCCTTTGACTTCGTCTGGTGGAATGTATGATGTCTTTCTAGCTGTTTCTCTGTTGACTGTCTCCGTGGCATCTGGTGGCAGTTAGAGGACTTCAGAAGTTAGAAGAAAAAAGAAGCTTTAAAGTATTTCAGAACAGACATTTAGATAATAAAAGACATAAGTAGGGAATTTTAAGAAAGATGTTTAGATAAATATGATCTAATAGTCACCGATGCCTTCAGTACAAGTACTTGTTAAATTCTTTGGGTTTTATAACTGTGGTTTTAATGGGCTTTTCTGTTTCCCGATATTTTGGTTTCTGTTACAACATATCTTTCTGTCAAATGCAGTAAGTGGCTCATTTTAGGATGTTGGCGCTCTTTAATAAGGACTAAGCGGAAAGTGTTTTCATTGTGACTGTCCACCACGCCCGTCCTTGGTTCTGTTCTGACTCCGTTTTCCCCTCTGTGTGCTCTGCTTCGCGAACTGAGTCTTGGTCTTTACGCCCTTTTCTCGTCGGAACATAGCGATGCCCGCCCTCTGCCGTCCCCTCTGAGCCTGTGTGGTAGGATTGTTTGTGCTCCTTTCTCGGCCCCCAGACACGGTGCGGGCAGCGTCCCCTTTGTGGCAGCAGCAGCTGCCTCTCAGGAACTCAGCAGTGCTGCCAGGCGCACCCTTTGCTGGGGCTCCATTGCCGGGTGTCCCTGCGTTTGGGTTTTGACCCCCTCCCCCTCGCCTCCGAAAACCACGAATGGGGAGCACCTCGATTTCGTGTCAGGGTCTGGCCTGGCGTCGGCCTGGCCTAGGTCCAGCCCCCACATCCCCGGCTCCATCGTCTTGTCCTCTGTGCTCAAGTGTTCTCAGTGGCCACGAATTCCGTTCCCTGTGCCCTGCGCACCTCACTAGGACAGGAAGGAGAGGACTCTTACATCCTAGGCAGTTTTCAAGACATACTAAGTTGTACATCTTTTTAAGCAGAATATTGAACTTTTGAGTATGCAGGTTAATTAAGTTATTTGGGAATTCATGTAACGGTTTTAGCTAACAAAGCTTTTAGCAAAGCGAAAGGTTGTTGAACCACAGTACAGAAATCTGTCCTGCACTGCGACTTAGCTAACTGGGTCTTAAACTTTTTAAATCAGACACGAAAGCGCAGCAGCTTCAGGGGTGTTCCTTAGGGTTTTATTGTTGTCCAGTGCTGATGAAATCTGGCAGTTATTCTTGTTATTCACATCTTTTGTCGTGAGTACAAATGACTACAGGTACAGATGGTCGTTGTATGATAGTTCAACATGGTTCTAAAAATTTTTCTGCTGCATGGATGCTTTTTTTCCCAAAAAAAATTAGCGTAAATATTTTGTTATTAGAATAAAGTCTTCTCACTATTTTATCCTTAAGCATAACATTTCCAGTCTGCCACTTTTAACCCTTACAAATGAAACACTTCCAATCAATCTTTCTAGTCTGCATGTAATTGCCTGAAGCTAAAGTAAAGCTTTTTCGCAGCCAGTTACAGTAGAAATGAGTTAATATATTGGCAGCAGAGTAACCATCAGCAATCAGCCGTTAGCTGTTTACTAATGAACTCCCAGATGAATGAAAGAATTCAGAATCAGTGTTTTACTTCGGGCTGTACATGAACCGAACACTTCAGTTGTGGGAAAAGCAGCTTAGAGGCGATACAGGTGAACACTGGTGCTTCATCTCAGTAACTGCAGGGCTGGAGATCTGGAGCTGGTGTGCACCCATGTTTCAGCAGCCAGCTTCTTCACCGTGCATCAGGCAAAGCCTGCTCTTGCACTTAATCTTACAGTGAATTTTATGATTTGATTTTGTTTAAAAATAATTGCCGGTGCTGCTGAATCTTAAAGGAATTTTGGATCTGAAGACGAGGTTATTTCCCAGTGAACTGGGTCTGTGTTTAGAAGAAGAATGATGAGTATGAACGACTGGGACGGTGCAAATTACTGGAAAACAATAGGAAAGAATTAGCTTATGGAGAGAAAAATATCTTTTTTCAGTCCAGACCAGTAGATTTATGAAAGACGGATGGTCAAGCTCTTACTCTTCAGTACTAATGTCGTAATAAGAAAATGATGTCAAAAAAGTATGGAACAAAAATGTGTCACAAAAGTATAATAAAATCATGGAACATAAAATTGTCACTATAGTGTAGTAAAAAAAATCACGTTACATACGTTGGGGAATGTAAATAGTTTAAAAAAAAAGAAGCTGTCGGTTGTGACATGAGATGAGAAAGAACATCATCAGTCTGTTGACAGTTCATACATAACAACAGAGAAGATAGCTGTAAAATTTAATGAGCTGTACGTACCATTTTAGAATAAGAGAGAACACATCCCTTTTGATTGTTAATTTACTCTACTTAGAGATGGTAAAGATGGAGAACTACTGGAGAGGAAGTAGTAGGACAGCTGAGTTTGGGTTTTCAGTATGGCCAAGTTGTGGTTAAAAATAACCAGAGTGGAGAGCTTTTCCCCCACCCATGGTTGAGGCGCAGAGACTCACAGGGTGGCAGGGCTGGAAGGCACTGGACAGATGTGTAGTCAGGCCCTCACTGAGTGGGAAGGTGAGGCAGGTGGCCCATCCAAGGCCTCCTGACTCATTGCTTGTTGGAGCAGGTGCCAGGGGTTCATTCAGGTCCCTACTTCTGGTCAATATTGTTCTTCCCACAACAAAAAATGTTCATAACACACACATACACACTTTTATTTATAAAAGTCACAGATGGGTTAAAAAGCTAAGCCATACCTCAACATACAAGGGTGTGGTTCTAGGTCAGGTAAGTGGTTATGGGGATTTATTTTCTCTCTGTACATATTATTCAGACATTATTAAATCACTAATAAAAATAGGCAGACATCTATGTTCAAGTAGGTAATCTGTACTCTGGATTAATTAAAAATCGTGTGTGTGTGTAAGTGAGAGAGAGAGAGAAGCTAAGTTCTTTATTTTCTTTTTCTGTTTCCAGGTTTCAGCAAGCAGATGGTAGAAATTCTTAACAAACATAATATTCAATTTAGCAGTTTTGACATCTTCTCAGATGAAGAGGTTCGTCAGGGGCTCAAAGCTTATTCCAACTGGCCCACCTACCCTCAGCTGTATGTTTCTGGAGAGCTCATAGGAGGGCTTGATATAATTAAGGTGAGAGCTGACAAGTCTGTGCCTTGTGAGGAACTGTCAATTAGAGCGTACATTTCGTAAGTGCTGTGATCAGTCTAAAACACACATTTCTTAAGAATGTCTGCATTTTCTAACATGAGCCTGGACTCAGTACCAAGTATTTCTGATGAGGTGTTGATGAGTGCTGTGATCTGTGGTCTAATAAGGGGATACAATACGTGTCGTCTTCAACTTGTGTGCATTTCAGGAGCTAGAAGCATCTGAAGAACTAGATACAATTTGCCCCAAAGCTCCCAAATTAGAAGAAAGGTAAGTGTTTTCAAAAGTTTGTAAGTGTTTTAAAAGTTTCCAACAGTCTACCGTTTATTATTTTGTAAAAATTTTAAAATCCTGGGTTTTTGCTTTGCTCTTTCTGTATAGAAATCCAGAGTTTGAGTTTTTTGGTATGCCAGTGTCACAATTTTGTTGTTTGCGGTTAAACTAGTCATGTGAACTTGTGCATGTTCAATTTGGACTGGAGAGATTTCTGCACCACCCTCGCGACTGTGTGGAGGGCGGTGTTTTAGGGAAGTTTCAGCGGTACAGTGGAGCAGCTGTGCGTTACTTCCCTCAGCCCTGGGAGCCAGGCCCTGCTCCTGGTGTTCAGGTGCCGTAGCAGTGAGCACTGATGGGCACAGACGCGTGTCCTCATGCTTTCTCGAGTGCAGCTCGAAGCTGCTGGGCCGTGTTTCACAGTAGCCGTGGGGTGTTAGTGTGTGCCAAGCAAATGCCGTGTGTGTGGCACGCTCACACAGACCTGGGCGTTTCTCAGTGCCTCTCCAAGCCACGGTAACTTACAACTCAAGGTGGTCATTGTGAAGCCGTGAAACCTGTTTGTTTTATGAAGGAATGATCAGTCACAGCTTTTAGAGAAGTTATCTTAGCGAATTTTTGAACTTTGGTGTGACTTAGAGGGACCTGGAGAGATTTTATTGATAATGTAAATGTGTAGCTTAAAAAGGCATTTATTTTTAAATAATCAGCATATTAGCCATTCATAGTTGGGCTTGAGTTGGTAAGGTAAAGCTTCCTCTTGTGATTTTCCTGAAACTGTTGAATAATCAAGACCTCCTGTGTCTGACCTTGGTTGATAAAGTCATCCTCGTAAAGGGCGTTCCGTGGCTGTGTAATTTCGCAGTCAGTGCCTCTGTTCTCACGTGGCTTCCCATGATGGTGAGCAGGTGATGCTGCTGGTCCTTTGGCTGACCCTGGTGTCCTCAGTTATGGTCTTTGCTATGGTGAGGCACTTCTCCTACGCCCGCTGGCCCCAGAAGGCTGCTGGACTCTTCACGCCCTTATGTTTTCCCTTCAGTTTACTTCTCTGCCCTCTGCCTGTCTCCGTCAGACCCGCTGGGCCCCCTGTGTTTCAGACACCTCCAGGGAGCTGGCTGGACGGAGCTAGAGAGTCACGTGCAGTGGGCTGCGAGGAGCAGTGTAAAGAGCTCCTGGGCAGGCAGAGTGCAGGAGCTGGAGGCCCTAGGCTGACATCCCTCGGGCAGCACAGAGCGACCCTCTGGCTCCCTGGATCCAGATATTCGGGTCGCTGGGCGTGGGATCTCGTGTTCTTATATTTCACGTTGTTTTTCAGCAAATTAGCTGACCGTACTCTATTGCAAGTGTAGGTGACATAGCTCGGTGCATGATGGGTGTGCTTCATTCGTGCGCACCTTATTCTACACGGAGATCATGAGCCGCGAGTCCCCCACAGCACCAGGAGACGCCTTTCGGCTCTCCAGCTGCCCCTCGTCCTGAGATTTGTGACTCAACTCTGGGCCGTATGCAGATCATTAAAATTCCAGAGAGAAAGTTAGATTATGATGTTTGAAAGATTGTATACAACCTTAAATATAAAGTTAAGCTTATTTGATTTTAGCAGCTTTCCCCCCCACCCAGTGTGGCCTTGTGGGCAGTAGGATTGAAAATATACAAGATCCACTTCTGAAAATTCTACATGGGCTTAATATATAGGCCCCTTATTGAACAATTCCTTATTGAATTGGTTGTTATTATTTCTTATTTTTTTTAGTACTATGAGTTGATGGGCTTAAATTGCAACTTAAAGGAACATTTGTGGCCTCAACAGCCGTATTGAGTTTTACAGTGGCTTAGGGAGGAGTGCAATACAGGAAGTGTCAGTGCGTTTGCTTGTTTAATACCACTCGAAGCTGTGAGCTGCCATCCTGCCATCCCTCAGATATGCATGTTACTTATGAAGTGGAGCGAAAGTAGTGTTTAATAATCGAGCTGAGCCCTTTTATATCAATTTTCTCTCTTTAGGCTCAAAGCACTGACAAATAAAGCTTCTGTGATGCTCTTTATGAAAGGAAATAAACAGGTAAAGAACTCAATGGTTTTATTTGTAATTTCTTTTGATGTTAACATCTGCATCAAGGGGACAGTTAATTCTTTTCTTTCCTGCTTTAGCTAATGAAGCTGTAGTGGTATCAGGAAGTCATCCAGGCCGTAATTGGTGCTTATGGAGATCAAACAAAGTAATCTGCATTTTGCCTGACTTTACCATCCACATCTCAGTGGGGTGCATTTCTTTCTGCAGCCAAACTCCCTCAGCCAACGTGGTCAACACTGTTAACACTTCACTGGCCCTGTTGGCTGCTGTCTCGTTGCCACTTGAGTCTGTCGACTTGTAACCTGCAGCTAGGTCAGTGCACTTGCTGAGTAGAGGGTCCCTGGCAGGTCTGGGGTCTGCGCCTCCAGGAGTGTTGACGATGAAGAGTTAAACCCCGCCCCACTGTGAGCTTGGTACGTGCTGGTGAATGAATACAACAGCTCAGCAGTTCTTACTCCATAAAGTACAGATCGTGCATAATCTTGAATATGAAGTTTGCTAGATCACTCCCAGTGATCGTTTGAGCAAAACTAAAGTTAGGTTTGGATTTGGGTTGGAATGCAGATGTCCAGAAGCCAGCAATGGACAGTCACATCATGTCTTTCAACATGTGCAGGCATTGAATGGACCTCTGTTGGTTTGTTCTTATCCAGCTGTTGAGGTGGGCACCGCTAGGCTGCATGGAGGGCACCCTGTTTCTCAGATGGGAAACTGAGGCTGCAGCTAGGTTCAGTCTGCCCCGCTCACTTGCCAGGACACGCTGGTCAAGTCGTGTGCATCCAGAGCTCACTGCTCCCTCTGAACGGACGTCAGGTTGCGATAACTGGTGTGAAAGCTGCTGTGACTTCTGTGATGACGGACAGGATGCGGGCTAATAGAACGAGGAAGTGTTAATGTGGATCCAAAGGGTCTACATTAGGACTTAGATTCTTGACCACTTCACCGTATTTATTAAAACAAAACAGAGAAAGTTAATAATTTCCAATGATAAAGCATTTTTTTTTCCTTTTTGGAGATTATTTAAAGCAGATTTTTATTTTCAATTTTTTTCCCTGGAAGCCCAGGAAATATTTATACATTTTAGAAACGGTATTATTAGAGCTATTAAATTGTGTATGTAGTGCCAAAGCTCTTCTACAAGATTGCAGGGATTTAGGGTTCTGTGGCATGAAAAAAAAAGCCTAAGATTTCCATAACCTCAAAAAAGGTCAGTGCTCAAAAAACTGGGAGTGGAAGTCCAGTGGGGAGCAGGAACATGATTACAGGAATCACTACAGAAAGGTTGAGTGAGCTGACTGGTTCTGTGTGAGTGAAGAATGAACAGGAATCTCAGTAGAAGATCTAGGTTTGACTTAGAGAGATGAACTTTTTGACCACAGAGGTTATAAGCTACTGGAAATATGTCATTGCAAGTGGATAAAAATAAAAATAAGTCTATGAGTTACGTGCCTGGGATAATGTACAGATGGGTCAGTATAGAAAGGTGTGTGTGTGGGGGCCGTCAGGTGGCCTCTTGAAACCTGGCCTGATCCAGCTGCTTGGTGATGTGGAGAACTAGGAATTCAGTCATCATTCAAACAAACGAGCTGATTCCGACTGATAGCGACCCTGTAGGACAGAGTAGAACTACCTCATAGGGTTTCTAAGGCTGTAAATCTCTACAGGAGCAGACCGCCACATCTTTCTCCTGCTGAGCGGCTAACCTTTCCGTTAGCAGCCGAGTGCTTAACCGCTGTGCCCCTGTAGCTCCATTTAGTAATCACAGTTGTTCCCTGCTGTCTGGTCAGTTCTGACTCATAGCCGCCCTATCGCGACCCTATAGCAATTGTAGTAGCAGCATATGGCTATATGTGTGCATATCCTGTATTTACTGACAAAGCGTGAGATGACAGCCGCCTCAGTAAATCATTTAAAAAATGTAATGCATCTTTTTTTTTTTTTTTAATATAGGAAGCAAAATGTGGATTCAGCAAACAAATTCTGGAAATACTAAATAGTACTGAGTATGTACATCTTGTTTTCAGATGATGTGTTTAAAGAATTCCAGCTTTTCAGTTCTGCTAGTTATGCTTTTCAGTTATGTCTGCCTGTATCTATTTATATACTGTCTGTCTGTCTATCTGTCTTTGTTCCTTTCTAATCTGGTTTTATTGTAATGTTTTGTGAGTGCTTTAACTTAGACCAGAACAGACTCTCCTGGCCGTAGTCAGCCTACGTTAGTAAAATAAAGGAGGTTCTTAGGCAACCTTTGAAATAACTGTCTCCTTTCCCAGAGGAAAGTTAATAATTGTGTTCTTACCGTGCGTCAGGATTGCAGGGAGAGCACGTTATAGGTTGTTTTTCTTTTCTTTAAAGTATTTTTTAGTTCTTAAACACGGAATTGGTAGGGCACATTGAGCCGCGTTGTCTGTTCTGAAGAGCAGGGTAAGTGACACAGCCCGGGTGTCATCATTCTAGCCGCCAACCTGCTTCCCCTCCGCCTGCTCCAGGCCACTCCTCTGGGGCTGGGGAGGAGGCTGCCTGTGTCTGGCCCAAGCCCCCAGCTGTAGACTTGCTAAACATCACTGCTGTGCAATGCGGGGCCACTGGGACTCTGGGGTTCTTTACCTCACAGGGCCTGAGGGCGCGATGGAGTTGGGCGTCCCAGTGTGCAGAAGGCGCCTGGCTTCCTTCTCCTGCCTTCCCATGGATTGTCCCTCACTGGCCAAGACAGGCAGCGTTGAGGGCGAGGTCCCAAATGTGCATAGGAGCGTGAAAGCTCCCCTTTAAAAGAACTCTTAGGAGACGTGTTAGCTGTTAGGACTCCACATCCTGTCCACTCAGACCCAGTCATCCCTAGAGCCCTTCTAGATAGTTCTAGAACTCATGATTTTTACCATAGGGTTTAGATGAGGAGACCTGGCTTCTTTAGTCCAACTTGAAGGGCAGATTAACATTGTGGGGGTCTTTTTGCCCCCCTTTTCTTTTCAGTCTCTTTTTGCTTTTCTTTCAAACCCTCCTTTCTGGTGTTTGCTGCTGGCTTTCCTGCTGCCCTGTCTTACGCACTGAGGGTGCTTTCTTGTGAACTGGTCACGTAATGAGCAGGCAGCACCTGCCTGCAGAGGGTCTGGTTTTGTGGGAACACTGGTTGTTTTTATACGTGGCTTTTCTTTGTCATCTTGGACCTGCCTGTATACCCACAGTCACCCTTCAGGGGTTTAGTCATGCCGTGCTAACTCCCTGACCACCTCCCAGTGAAATCCTTCCGAGTAGATGGGGTTGGGCTTCCATACAGCAATTCCTCATTCAGTTATACAAGTGGTGTTCATTACACAGCACAGAAGCCTTGTGTATACTAAAAACTGCATACGCGTCCTGAAATAAGTTTGAGTGTGGAAAGCAGATCTCTGTGGGGTGCGATTGATGGCAGCCTGGCCACTCCAGCAGGGTACCTGCCTCCCACCAGGGAGCACCTCCCTCGCAGCCAGCTGTCACCAGCCCCAGTCCGTGGACAGCTGCACAGCATCTTTGGCTCCCTGGACAGCGTCCAGTAGGGGAGGAAGCAGCAGCAACGTTAGAGTGTTCAGTGAACCCATCCTTACCCGTCAGTGGTGAGGATGGGTCTAACTGGGGGTTGGCAACCTGCAGTTGGCCACCTATTTATGTAAATAAAGTTTTATTGGAACACAGCTACATCCATTCACTTATGTGTTGTCTGATGCTGCTTTAGTGTGACAACAGCAGAACTGAGTAGTTACTACAGAGACTGTATACCTCCCAGAGCCTAAAATGTTTCTCTCTGGCCCTTTGCAGTAAAGTTTGCCGACCCTGGTCTGACCCACTACTGTCTAGAGGAAAATCCAGATGTATTTGTCTCTTGGGATGACTTACTCTGTGTAGTATCTGACAGATTAGGAAGTAAAATTATTTTTATTCTCTACAGTAAATTTTGCTAGCATTGAAATCCTATTTATTTACTTTTCTTGACTGTTTCTAAAAAGCAAATAGGTCTTACGATTTTTGTTTAAAACTGTATTTCCTGTTTAAATGTTTCTCATTTTTGCAGTGTTGAATATGAGACATTTGACATATTGGAGGATGAAGAAGTAAGTTCTCTGTTCTCTGCTTTGTCCTAGTCTCAGCCTTAAGTGTCAGGGTCTGAGATGAAGGCTCAGGGCTCACCTTGTTCCCTTAGGTGCGGCAAGGGTTAAAAGCGTACTCCAGCTGGCCGACGTACCCTCAGCTGTACGTGAAAGGGGAGCTCGTTGGGGGACTGGATATTGTCAAGGTAAGGCCAGAATTCATTCTACATCTGGAAGAGCTGAAAGTCTCGGCATGTGTAGAAATTGTAATTTCATGGTGAGTGGAAACTTTGGGGTTGTCCTTGAGTCCTTTCTTCCCTGGCCTCACGGCTGGTCACTTGCAGACCATTTTTACCGTTTCCGCATCCGTACGGTCTTGGTTTCCTCACTGTCACTGCTGTGTCCGCGTATTCTCACCTGCTACCTGAACTCGTCAGATCCTCTTCACTGTGGACCCCCCGGCACGCTGGGTCCTCTTTAGAACCTTCGTCAGCGCCTGGCGGACCTCCAGCCAGAGTTCAGTAATTTGGCATTCCAGGCAACTTAGGTTATGGCAGAAATCACCCTTAATGCGATTTTATTTTTTCTCACATTGCACGAGTCCTGTAGAACATTCTTCCACATTGTCCTGCCTTTCCGCTTTTCACCCTGTCTCCTCTGCTTTGGATTTCTTGCGTATTCTACATTTGAGTCTGTGTTCTTCATCTTCAAGGCCCAGCTCGTCTGTGAGTCATTCACAGATTCTTCCAGAAGTGTTTGCTCCTGCTTCTGGAATCAGCACTTCCTGCAGCCACAGACACCAGGGTGCGTGGGGTGAGAGCTCTGGAAGCATGGTCGGGGACGGAGGCTCAGGCCTCTGTCACAGCTGGCTGAGTGACCCGGCAGGGGGTCACTGACTCAGCACCCTGTGTCCCAAAGACAGGGACTCGTGCCGGATCCTCTCCGTGTGCCTCTTCAGCTTTCAGCCGCTAGAAGGTGCGGTTACCGTGTGAGACCGCTGCGAGCACCTTTAGAGAGGACACCGTTTCTTACGCGGCTTTGACTCCTTCAGGGGCCTTGCCATGTTTTAGGAGCTCAGTGAGTGTGTGCTGCATGGCTGGCTGCATGGATGGATGAAAGACTTTACATAAATGCCCACTGGGTTTTAAACGGACATGACCTTCCCTGTAGGATGTGAAGTCTAGGACCCAGGACAGCCCCACCTGCGAGCACCTGCTTGCTTATGGCTGTACTGCTCAGCCCACCACGCAGGAGGGAGGAGGCTTTCGTGGCAGTGTCCCCACACCTTCTGCCACCTCAGGCCTGCCTGGACATTGTGGTGGGCAGGAGGTGGGGTGGGGGTGCTGAGGAGGGGCTGAGAAGGAGGGCCAGGCTTGCCCGAGAAGCGCACACTGTCACAGCAGGCTGCTGGCGGAGGCACGGGCGGCCAGTGTGGAGATGCCTACAGGCCCGCCTCTTGCCTGGTGGGTTGGAGGTCACACTGCTGACCTTTTAGGTGGGAAGCAGGTCGTGAGTAGTGGGCGGTCAGTGTGGAGACAGCTGCAGGCCCGCCTCTTGCCTGGCGGGTTGGAGGTCACGCTGCTGACCTTTTAGGTGGGAAGTGGGTCGTGAGTAGTGGGCGGTCAGTGTGGAGACAGCTGCAGGCCCGCCTCTTGCCTGGCGGGTTGGAGGTCACGCTGCTGACCTTTTAGGTGGGAAGTGGGTCGTGAGTAGTGGGCGGTCAGTGTGGAGACAGCTGCAGGCCCGCCTCTTGCCTGGCGGGTTGGAGGTCACGCTGCCGACCTTAGGTGGGAAGCGGGTCGTGAGTAGTGGGCGGTCAGTGTGGAGACAGCTGCAGGCCCGCCTCTTGCCTGGCGGGTTGGAGGTCACGCTGCTGACCTTAGGTGGGAAGCGGGTCATGAGTAGCGCTACCTGCAGTTGTTGGTAAATGTGTGTCGGCACCTGCTTGGCAAGGTGGGGAGCTCCAGCCCAGCGCCGAGGTGGCGCCAAGACTTTGGACCAGGTAGTTTACGACATGGGATGGAGCCCTTTCCTGCCGGGGCTGTTGTATCCCGTGGCTGTGTCTGTAGGGCTGGTTGCCGGCCGAGTTCTAGGTTTCTGTTCGGCTCTTGCTGGACAAGTCAGTGAGGCTTGTTCCTAGTAAACAGTTTCATTCCTGGAGGAAAAAGAAGGGGTGACAGAGGAGCTTTTTTGACTAGCCTGGAGCGACATAGATCTGCATCTGTTATTTTATCTGTATTTTATTTCTGTAAGACACAGTCGTCAGCCCCCAAATACTCTGGAGCTTGTTCTCGTCTGAGTGTTTTATAGCCTGTGCCTTCGCTGTTGCTAACTCTCGGGAAGATGCGAGCAATACATCTCATTTAATTCTAAAACTAAGCTGCCTGGCTCACTTCTTTTTAGGTATATAACAGGGCAGTGTATGACTGTTTCTGTTCATCTGCTAGAACTACACATTTGGAAGTTTGTGATAGACTGTTCCCATTTTTCCTGGAGAACGTAAGTGGGAACGCTTACGTGGCTTTTGGCTGGTTTCTTGCAGAGAGCAAGTCATGGTCTTTAGTTAGTTCAGTTAGAGCGTTGGTCATGTTCCAGAGGGTCGACCCTCTTGTGTTGAGTGACTGGATGAATGAATGACTTAGTGACCCAGTCAGTCTGGTGTCCAGAGAGCGATGGTGTACTTGATGAAGTACTTGGTGGCATACCTGGTGACGTACTTGATGACGTACTTGGTGGAGTTCATTTTCCTCTGAGGGGTGAGCCGTTCACTCCTGCTGCAGAGGTGTTTGTACGGGACACAGGCTGTCTAGGAGTTTCAGGCCAGTCACACCAGGTTACTGTGGAAGCCGCTGTCTCACGTTGGTGACGGGGATGATGAAGACAACCGCCATGCTTTAGCCGCTCGCGATGTGCCAGGTACGCTGTCACAGACTGCTTGCGGTGGCCTGAGAGAGAGGTCTTGCTCGGTCAGTAGGAAAGGACACGCAGACACGGAACAGTCAGCCGAGCTGTCTTTGGCCCCACGGCCAGTGAGCTGCTGAGTTCAGGTTGTACGGGGGGCCGCCTGGCTCTCCGCCCCGCCGCGGGGCCTGCTGCCTTCTGAACTGCCTGGTCAGAAAAGTCCCTGGGTCCCAGAAAGTTACTGTGGGGTCTCTGGGTTTCTGTATAGCAGAGTCACACCCATTTGGGACTAATCCTGAGGAGGTGGTGTGGATTTTAATGGTTTTATCCATTAATGTTTATGCTGCTTAGTGATAACCTAAATGCAGCATCAAAGTAAACAATTTTAAACTAGAAAATCTTCTTTATCCTTTATTACCCTATTTGAAACTTGATGGCTTCACTCCAGATTTTCAATCTGAAAAACGGGCACGAAAGGTGTAGACCCCGCCCTGCAGTCCGGTCCCCTAGTGACAGCTCTCCGGAGCTGGATCTCTGTTTCTGAACCATCACGTCTTTCTGTCACGGTGTGCGGTCTGTATGTCTTGCCAGCACGGTGGCTTTTCCTGAGGCACAGACTGTGGCCAGGTTGGGTGGCTGCAGGGAAGCCGGCGTGCTCACTGGCGAGTGAGTGGGCAGGAACCCTGTGCAGTTAGTTACAGGGAGGGGCCGGCTGCCGGCCCCTTGCTCTTCCTTCACCTTTGGTGTTTGCCTGTCACCTAGAACCTTTCTTCTGTTTATTGCTGTCATTTAGATTGGGTGCTTCATTGTTAGATCATTGTTTGCTGAACAGTCTGTTGGTTTTAGAAAATCTTTTTACTTTAACTTTGTAATCTGATCGTGGACTCAGTGTTTCGGGCTTAGTATTTAGCGTGAGTGTGTTGGTAGACTAGCATTTCAATGCAAGAAGGTGTTTATTTTGATTCTCAGATACAGATTCAAACTGTAATTGTTCAGATGTCTTCATATTATACATACACAATATGTACATACATATACATAGACATTGTTATTATGTTTATTTTTAGGAACTAAAAGAAAATGGTGAATTGCTGCCTATACTGAGAGGAGAAAATTAGTAAATGTTGAACTTGGTGCCCAGCTGCCGCAAGAGAGACTGATCCCAGTGGGGCTCTCCTGATGCAGTCCTCAGGAGCGGGCCAGGAGGAGAAGGCTTCTTGTCGCTTTGTGTACTTCACAAGGTTCTGCTAAATGTATGTTTCATTTTTTCCACCGAAAATAGAATGCAATAAACCTCTTCAAATTCAATTGAAAATAATTGTGTAAAAAAGTGTATCTTTACAGTGATGTTAAACAGTTACTGTAATTAACCCATTTGAATCTCGTTCTTTCATAATCTGTGAGCATCTTGTAGCAATTAAGAAATCGACAGCCTTCAGAACATGGAGAACTGTGATACCGTCTGTCATCCACAACAGCTCATGCCAGCCCAATGGTGCCCCTCACTGGCTGAAAGGTCTCTTTACAGCTTTGGTAAAACTCAGCTAAAAGTCATTTTCTGATTGCAGCCCTGAACTTGGCACTGATGGAAGGGCAAAGTCAGAGACTCGTTTCAGACAGCACCAGTCCGGTGGGTTGCTGCCAGGAAACATTCGAGAGGGAAGTGGTTTCCCATCAAGCCTGTTGCAGCAGGCATTTTTTAGAGCATCTGGAAGAATGGGTAGCTGAGACAAGGGGCAGGAAAGTGTTGTCGGTTTGTCTTAAGCATCTCAGCTTATTCAGTCGTGATGAAGTGTTGATTTAGCCCTTCAGATATGTTGAGAACAGTCTGAGGTCCATGAACATTTCAACAGTCTTTCTGATCTGAATCTCAATTATATTTAATGAGTATTTGCTCTGTTAGGCATCTGCCGTGTGTGCCCTAAACAGGGTGGCTGAGTCAGCCTCCACGGTTCTCTGGACTTTCGGGTACCTGTGTGTGGCGTGTGTTCTCTGCAGTAAATTGTCCCAGTGTGTTGGTCTTGGTGGTTAAGGCTCCGTGACATTGTCTGGAGGCAGTGCAGAGTCAGTGACAAAGCCGAGGAGGGGCGCGTGCGGTTCTGTTGAAGGGCTGGGTCCGGCTGTAGGGAGGAGATGGCTGGTTTACACTGGGGGGTGTGTCCCAGAGGGCCACCTGCTGCCTGCTGGGAGTCACGAGGGCCCCTCCTGCTGGACTTTACTGCCACTGTGTGTAATTACAGGGGCCCTTTGGGGCATTGGTTAATGAGAACTTTTTTTTTTTTTTTTAATTTAAAATGGAAGTCACTGTATAAGTAAATCTTTAAAATGCAAAATGAAAATGGAATTTCAGCTGAAATTTCATGAAGCCAGTGGCTTGAGGGATGTGTGTGAGTCATGGGGCAGGAGCCCACAGTTTCTGGATTCTTCACCCCAGACGTAAGTCATTTCTTACTGCTTTCATGGTTTCTGTTCTGTCCACAAGCGCCACCTCTTGTATTTTCTACCATGTCAGCCTTTTTTTTTTTTAATATATTTTATTGTACTTCAGGTGAAGGCTTACAGAACAAATAGTTTCTCATGAAACAGTAGTACACATGTTGTTTTATGACATTGGTTAACAAC